GAAGATGTTGAGATAGATGTATGGCAAGACAAGAAAAGATAAAATTTTGAATGAATACATTAGAGGGAATAAGAAAAGGGAAGTAGATTTAGACGTGCTGGCCATGTGAAGCATCGATCTAGAACAATACCATATATGAAAAGCGAGTTGGTTCAGGTGGAAGGCTCTAAAAAAGCAAAAAGAAGACCCAAAAGACATAGATGGAAGCAATGAGAAGATATAGTGATGAGGTTCAGATGATGATGATGGAGAGAAGTGGGTTATGTCAAATACTAATCACAAGATTTCAACCTTTTACAGCTTCCCTCTTATGATATGTTGGATATGCTGGCTTGGGATTGTGTAAAAACCAAAAGAAATTCAGTAAACTTTAAGCAAAATAGGAAGAAATTAAAGAAAATAACAAGAAAATAAAAATAACAGAAGAGAAACATCTTACTTGCAAGCCAGACTTGTAGGCCTGACACTTGGGACGTCTTTCTCCTTGGCCTTTTAGGGATTTATTGCACTAGAGAACTTCTTTATCTTTCATATGAAGAGGACCTAGGATTTTCCTAGGGTTATATTTGACATAGAATTGAAGTTTATGGAGCTTCAACGCTTGCTGGAAATTTTAGGGCTTAGGGTTTAATGGCCTATAGTTTCTTGTCTTAGAGGCCCAAAGGTTTAGGGTTTTAAAGACGCTTAGGATTCTAGAGTTTCTAGGTTTCTCTGGGTTTCTCCCCTTCAAATTAGCATCAGAAGGGACAATTATAAGCCAAAAGTTTCTAGAAAATAACACCGAATCTCCATAACCTTGTGGGCTATTTGCGGGTGCAGGATTTATTGATGCGGCTGTGTTGCTGAGCACTCCGAGCTCTAGATTCATATGCAAACTTCTGCAATTTCTATTGTGGTGATCTAATCAAATCTGATATGTACAGTATCTGACTCAAGAGTTTTTCCTTGTTGAACCTGACTTGCTTATTTTGGATGATTATCTTGCTTTTATTGAGTTCTTTAGGATATTCATAATTTTTCTATGGTTTTTGGACTACACTTTAGGGAAATCTAGAAACTATTAGGTTAGTATGGTCCCTAGTGGTTTCTAGGTTGAATTACTTTTCCTTTGGGATTTGGGATTTGGGATTTGGGATATAGGTTTAGGTTTTTAGTTTCTTGGGAATTCCCTTAGCCAATTTTTTTTTTTGGGGGGGGGGGGGGGGGTAGGGGAGGGGTGGTTACAGTGGTGGTTTTTCTATACAATAATTTCCTAGTTGTTGACTTCTGCTGTCTTTTTTGTAGATTTTTTTTTTTATCTTCTTTTTTGGCATTCCTTTTCTTTTCTTTCACTTACTTTTTTGTCTTTCTTTAATCTTTTATTTCTCTTCTCTTTTTTTTCTTTTTTTTTTTTCTATATTTTCTCTTTTTTCTTGTTTCTTCATTTTATATCACTTGTACACTTTTTTTCATTAATATAGTGTTATCAATGTCTAAGAAAAAGACATAGGATCATGTATTACAAGACCATTTAAAATTACTATAAGAAAATCACAATGAGAAATGTGTCGTGTATTACAAGACCATTTGAAACTACTACAAAAAAAATCATAATCACTTCCAGCTCGGTTCCTCCTTAAGAACTCCTTATATATTTTTTCTTTTCTTTTTTGTTTTTATGTTTTTTTTAGCATAACTAACGTTTTCTTAGGTCCCTCAACATATCCATATGAGCATAGCTGAGATGGGATGTTGAAATGGATGAGTGGTAAGATAAAAAAAGAAAGCATTCATCACAAATATATACACGGGAACTTAGGTGCGGCTTCAATAGCAATAAGATAAGGGAAAGTAAAACTACAAGAAAATCACAATGAGAAATGTGTCGTGCATTACAAGACCATTTGAAACTACTACTACAAAAAAATCATAATCACTCCCAGCTTGATTCCCCCTTTAGAACTCCTTATATATTTTTTCTTTTCTTTTTTTTTTTTATGTTTTTTTTAACGTAACTGAGGTTTTTTTAGGTCCCCTCAACATATCCATATGAGCATAGCTGAGATGAAGATGTTGAAATGGATGAGTGGTAAGATAAAAAAAGATAGCATTCATCACAAATATATACAGGGGAACTTAGGTGCGCCGTCAATAGTAATAAGATAAGGAAAAGTAAACTTAGGTGGACTAGCCATATGCAATGTAGGATTTATACAAAACCGGTTAAGAGGTGTGATTCCAGTGGAAGGCTATAAAATGTCAAGGGGAAAGCCCAAAAGGACATGGATAGAAGTGGTGAGAAAATATATAGTGACTTTTGATGTTACTGAAGGTATGACTATTGTTAGAGAAGAATGGAGCAACACGATTCATGCAGCCGATCCCAAATTATTGGGATAAGGCTTCAATGATGATGATTATAGATGATCTAATATTTTCATAAGTCCCCTCTAAATCCTACCCCATAAATCTCTATTTTAGTTTTGTAAAATTATTTATTTTCAATCTTTTTGAATTATCGATTCAGAGCTATCCAAACCTAATCCAGTTCACTGATCTAACAATTCAATATGGATCTATGGGTGAACGATACGCCCCAATGATTCAAATGTTGAATCACCAGGCCAAAACAAAGCATCTCTGGTGAGATTGGCCTTGAGGACCTCATAAGAGAGCCTATGCACGTGCATCATGTATAGACAAAAGTAAAATAGCACTTGGTTGCTTTGACCCTAAAACCAACACAATGGTGCATGGGGCTGTGTATTTTTTGGGCTCTGATCTCACCATGTCTCCCAAAGTGCATGCACGAGCACATTCGTCCACCAGATTTGTTTATACTCCCTTTTAATGCACTTTGGTCTTATAATAATGTCAAGAAAAATCATTACATAAATAACAATAGGATAGAAATAAATAATCGTTAAAGGTGGCAATAAATTATTTCATACGAGGCATTACATCCGTGAGATGGCCTCACAATTACTAAACAAAAATATAGATGCGCATTAAAGGGAGATAAAAAAACACTCAAAATCTATGAATTTTATTATGCAGCCTTTCTATTCCCCTCTTAATTCTCTCCTTTTATAAATACGGAATGAATTCATTGACTGCTAACGGCTGTGACATAAATTGTGGGGCGTGCATACTCTATCTAAGGGTGTCTAACAAAAACATATTCGACTAAATACTTTTAAAAAATATTTTGGTATTTTGTCATAAATATGGTATAATAAATATTTTCTTATTTTTTTATTAAGTGTAACCACGTAAGAAATCACTCCCCATATCCTATTCAAAGTGGAAGTGTTTTTTTTGGGTAAGTAAAAAAAAGTGCCACACTAGGACTTCTCAAGTTAAAAATGAAATACATTGATCCGTACAATTAATATTAGATGCTCAAAGCCTAACTTGTGATATTATTATTAAAGCTATCACATATGTCCATTTAAATTAGACAGCTGCAAATAATAGTCATCATCATTATAGCATTTTTTCAAGTAGATAACTATGAACAGTAATCAGACGTACTTTATGTGGGTCATGGCACATGTAAAGGTTTCCCATGAATATACATCCAGCGCTTTCTCCAATGAGAGAGAGGTATGGAAATAGACCTATTTAAAAAAGTAAAGAAATAGATGTGAAATTGCTATATGACCTTTTTAATTGGAGAGGTATGGAAATAGACCTATTTAAAAAAGTAAAGAAATAGATGTGAAATTGCTATATGACCTTTTTATTTTTTCTAGATCTGTGCTATTTTTAGGCCATCGTAGTGGTTTATGTTGCAGAAACAACATATTCAAGGGATATTGATGCGCAACTTACTTTTTTTTCAAGGCTTAACCTTATATAAACCTCATTAAGTGCGGTTAGCATAAGGCCTTACCAGTGCATAAAAAATAAAAGTCTCACTTCAAACCCAGTCACAAAATAGAGTTCTAACACAAGAAACCTTTATGATGGACTGAAAATACATTCTCACCATTAATGATAAAATTTAAAGCTCATAAACTTTGTAGATCAGATAGATATATGAGCACTTGAAAATAAACTACTCATATAATGTGTTATAAGATACAATATCTTTAAAGTATGAAATCCAAATAATTTTCAAATCAATTCGTTCTCATATTAAAACTACATTTTTTATAAACCTTATAAATCTTTTTCCCTTATTCATTGTAAATGAATTCTTATTTTTTTTTTTTGACAAGGCAGTTATACTCGATTTTTGAGAACGCACGTGCGGGCAGGGCGAGAAAAATAGTTTTCTGTGGGCTTTTGCCAAAAAGATGAAGGCATAACAGGTCATTAAGTAGATAGTAAATACTTTGCCAAAGTTTAAAAAACCCTATTCTTTATTGCTTTCTTTCCTTTTCACCAAAATAGAATGACGCACTTTTAGAATCTCTCTATCCCTAACTCTGCCACATTCTCTCAAAACAAAAAACAATACCAAAGCAATAGACTAAAGTCATAAAACAATAGACCGATACATTAATTAATGTGAGCTCATTAATTAAACAAAAACCCGATCATCTTCCAGGTTCTTAAAAGGTCATTTTTGCATTCCTCTCGTAACCAGGGAAATCCATTTTTTCTTGAGCACATATACTATGTTCCCTCTGGGAGTATAGTTTACTTCTACTCCCTCGGACAATGACTTACTTGGGAAAAGTTTTTCACTCTAAAATTTTGGCTACCACCTTAGAATTACTAAATGAATATTCTAAAAAAGAAATTAAAATTTATATTTTTTAATACTTAGATCTCACCTTTTAAAATTGACTGGTTTCTATTCTATTATGAATTCTATCACGAGACATTATTTTTTAATGTACTTAGAGGGTACAATTCGGAATTTTTTTATTAAAGTTAATTTATACCTCAAAATTTGGGGTACTAAAACTGATCATAGATGAGAGATTTGCCCGAGGGAGTATACGGATACTAGATTCCCGCGCGAGTAGGACATCTTTTGGCGTTGCCCTTTTCCCTCTGACTTTTCTCTCTCTCTCTCTCTCTCTCATCCGATTTGCAGGTGCCAAGCTCGAGGCGCGCCCTTTCATTCGTTTTACCAGAAGCAAACCCCGAGAGACAAACCCTCTCAGGGCCTCTTCAAACTTTCGCAGTGTCCATTGCTCTTTTTCTCTCTCTATTGTTTCTCTCTCATCCCTCTCTCTCTCTTCTTTCTCTCTCTAAGTGGCGCCCCTCTGGTCAGCGTGCATGGAGGGGAACGAGAGTGGGTTGAACTCTTACTACCAGTCGGCCCCGTCGGTGAACAATGGCATGTTCTCGTCTCCAAACCCTAGCATCACTGCCTGCTCCTCTGTTCCTCCATATCCCTCCTCCTCCGATGGCTTTCAGCAGCACTTGGCTCCCTCTGGGAGCCGGGGGGCTTCTTCTTCTGGGCCCACGGAGGTTGTCCGGAGGAAGCGCGGCCGGCCCCGCAAGTACAGTCCTGGCACAGACTCCCTCCCCAAGCCCTCCAACGTCCCCCTCTCTCCGCGCAAGAAGGAGCCCGCCTCTGCAAAGAAAGCACAAATGGTGGCGCTTGGTGAGTTCCCCTTCTTTCTCTCTCTCTTTTTTTCTTTTTTAACATGATGATGTGAGTAGGTGTTCGTGGATACTTTGGTCTCGTTCTTTCCTGTTCTTGTTCTAATGAGCCAGTCAAGAATGCTCAGTTGTTTTCTCTGTAAGTATTTGTTGAAAATGCATTAACATGGTGTCTATATTCAATGAAGTCCTTTATTTCACTGCGTTGTCCATGGAAATTCATGAGCATGGTGTGGACATTGGGGTTCGTCCTAACATGAGTGTATGGGGTTTGTTATCTCAATAAGCAGCTTATGAAAATGCAGGAACATGGTGGGAGGTTTTATATGGGCTTTGTTGGCTACTAAGTTATTTGTGCATGAAACTCCACCACCTACAGACAGTTAATTGCTATCAAGAAAAGAGGAAAACTGACTGGCATGGCAGTATTTAGGTTTCATTGAATATTTGGGGACCAAGGTTGTATAACGGGCAAGTTGTATCACACACTTTCTTAGAGGATTTTATTTTATTTTATTGTACTTGTTTTTTTGATACTTGACAGTTCCATTGATTTTGTGGTCTTTACAAAATTGTGTATGGGCCTCTGAAAAATTTAGTTGGAAAGTTTGTGTGATAACATGCTGTGTTAGAACATTTCCGTGGTCCGGGGTAAGGAAGGCCTTGTGGTAGCGGACCCCTTCTTTAACTTTCTCTCCAGGCATGCCTAAACGCCACACTCAAACCATGACATAGTTCGTAAATTGGACAAAGACATAATCTAGACTCTGAGGGCAGGGCGATGTTTTGGTTTCCCATGATATAACATTCTTTGAATACCCTCCAATGAGAAGGTTCCGGCCTTGTGCTTTGTCCTTGATGGAATTCCCAATTCTAGGAGGCCCTGAGTATCTGAGAGGGATCTGAACCTGATGTTGAGGAAACATCCTCCCCTTTGAGCTATTGTCACAGTTGAGTTTGTTAGTACCTTGTGGTGGGGCAATTCAATGCGAGGATTTGGGAGTTTGCTTAGGAAGGGATTAGATAGTCCTTTTCCATTGAGTGTTCTTCAAGGAAACTTAAGAGGCATCAACTTTGTGTTTTGTGCGCCTTCTAAGTCGTGTGCACAGCAGTTTGTGTTCTACATGATTCCCTGAGGAAGCTATCTTTTAATGTCTTGTGTATGGGGGGCAATATTTATACAGTTGAGTGATGGTGATATTCAAAATTATGGTAATGAATGACACACAAGTAACAAGGACTTCAGAGGAAAAAGCCAGATAGTTTTCAATATTTTTGACTCCTCTCAGTTTGATTTTTTGAACTTGGAAAATCTGTGCCATCATAAACTTAGATTTTTGAATTGTCTCATATTTATTCCCTTTCCATGAATGTGAATCTGGAGAGTTGAGGATAAGGGTATCAGTTCTTTTCTTATTGGTCTTCCTAACTTAAATTAGCGATTGCAGGTGAACTTTTTAACGTTACTTTTACAATTTTATTCTGTAAAGTATTGTGGGAACTGTGCAATGAAAGGATAGGATCATGGGTATTTTCCTTTCCTAATTTACTCATTCCCATGGCATTGTTGTAAATGTATTTTCCTGCAAATTTCTCGAATCGTTAGTTTACAAAAATTTCCGCATTATTAAATTTTTAAATCCCTTTTACATTTGTTTATTATTATAAATCAAGTACCAGGTGGAATGTAATTATATAATTGTGAGCATACTTCATAGCATGAGGTACTGTCATGTTGGGGTATAAAAATTTACTTTTTATGAGTTTTGCACCTTGCTTCATGATATCTCATTAAGATGCATATTCCCTGCTTAAAAGCAAATGAAATAAAAAATCTGTTGATGTCACTACTACGTTTCCTCGCAAAAATAGATCATTCTTAACATGATAATTGTGTTATTTTGTTAAATAGATATTTACTAGATCTTATATTTATATGAAAATATGCTCTGATCTAAATTGTAGATTGATTAAGCTCACTGTTAGAATATCTTCGATTTTATATTCATTTGTTGCTTGGTTGACATGTGCTGCTTTTGCTCTGGTTTCGCATAATCTCATTATTCCACTTCATCTGGTGTTTGATTCGTAAAAGAGTTTGGTGAAGCTATTCCAGTCCATAGAAAATAACTGAATAAGACGCTGTTTTATTTGTTTTCAGATTTCCAAAGTTTCCTTCAAGTTTCCTTCATTGGAATCCATTTGGCCTCTAACCAGACAGTCTATTGTTCATCTGAGAGAATCTTAAAACTAAGATGCTTGAAAATTTGGATATGCTTTAGCTATTGGTGCTTATACGACACTATACCACATGATCATCTTATTCTAAAATCATATAAATATAAAACTATGATTGGTTGGGCTTGTCGAGGGATGAAATACTCTTCAAGATTAGCTAATATCATGGGGAGAAGCTAACTGCAAATTTTGTTCTCTTACGCATTGTGGTTAAATTTGGCTTTCTAAGGTGTTCTTTCGTGTTCTTTATTCATGTCATGATCTTTGTTGAAATGATTTTGGTCTAAGGATTGATGCTATTCTCTATCATGGTTCTTCCATCATGTTTGTAACATTTTTCCCTGCATCATATATATAGGTGAGTAGTTCATATGTACATTGATTAGTTTCTTCATATATAATGGTTGTACATGGCAATGTGTCATCACCATTGATTAGTTTCTCCTATTGTAATCGGTGCGCTACGTGCAGTTATTGATCCTGTCATGGTTGTTAGCTTTACATGACTTAACACATGATTTGGTGCTTACATTGAGCAAAGGGGGCATGGTTGAAACTATTTCGATCAGTCTTAGATGTACTTTATCACATGATTCTTTTGTAGCTGTAGTGTATGTGAAATTGTGACCTTAGAAATAGGGAGATCACATTGTTTGTAGGGCCTTCTTTCTAACATTCATACTTGATGTTTGTGGCCTTAATGGACCGCAATTCCGGATGTCATTGTACAACCGTAGGACTCTGGGTTTGAGTGTTGATTGAGAGTAGTGGACCCTTAGATACAGAGAGTCAATTGATATGATCAATTATACACATTAGTTTTGTATTAAGATGATAAGTAGTTTGGATGGTAAAGTATAGAGCGTTGTGATTTTAGCATTTCGCTGTCGGCTTGCTTAGAAGGATTGATATACTTGTTCTACAAGGACTCTACATGCTTGAGCAAATCGTCCTTATTAGCCATAGAAATGCAATGATTCTTTCTGGGTTCCTTTGTTCTTGAAAATTGCTTTACAAAAGTTGAAGTTGATTTGCTTATTTTTGAGAAGCCCAAATCAATATGAAACACATTTCCTACAGGGGTTATTATGGTTATTTTGTATTTTTTTTTTATAATAATCTTGTGAAAATGGTACAGGGTTATTATGGTTATTTTGTATTTTTTTTTATAATAATCTAGTGAAAATGGTTTTAGAAATATTATCATGTTTTATGAAGAATTTGTTGAGATCCTTGTTGCAACTTTCTATGACCAAGGGTATTCATGCAATTTTGATGATGATTGATTGTTTTCTGATTAACTGGTTTGTTAAAATTGTTTATTATAATTTCTACAGATGTCTTTGAAAATGAAATAGACATTGTTTATTGTTGTAAGATAATTTCTACAGATGCCTTTGATAATGAAATAGACTTGGGATAGGTAATAGGGCCACTGTGTTGTGGCTTCACCATTGTTCGGGCTTTGGAATGTCATTTCTAGGTTATAATAAAACTCTGATGATGGCCCTATGTGGCTGTGGCATGATGTGTTGGTTGTCGACATTGCTATTTATATTAGTGAGTATGCCTTTTCTTACTTTGCAAGGGCAAGATTTCATATTTTGTAAGTTCTGATCATCTACAAATGTTTCTTGGGTCACATTGAAACAAAATAAAATATAAAAGAGTTCTGTGGTTCACCATTCTCTGCTTTTTATAACTCTATTTCTGAGATATTGGGGAGGAATTGCTTTTTGCATAGGTTAGTGGTGGGGTGTGTGCGGCATGTGTTGGGGAAAGATTCCATAGTTCAAGGCATAATACCACTGTAGTTGGCCCTACAGTGAAAACACATGTTTGACCCATGAGTCTTTAAACCATTAACTTTCATGTTGTAAAGGATTTCAATGAAAACAAATGTTGATTTTGAGCTTCAAAAGCCCTAGATCCCATTGTCCACAAAAACCAATTCTCTGGAGTTGTCTTTGGAGCAGGAATTTAGATTGACGGCTCCAAAGCATTCTTTTTAAAGATTGATTGTAGAGATTAATAAACAGGATTGAGAGTTTTCAGGTCAAACGAATTCCCCTAGTTAGGTGTTTTTGCCATTGGGTAAACAGAAGCTAAGTAGCCGCATTGCACAGAATCTTATAAGTTACCATCTAATATAAAAATTTATGAAGTTAAAACCTAAAAAATAAATAGAAATAGTATTATGAATTATAAATAAAGTAATTTATCAAAGGAAGTTTAAACATTACATTAATCTATCTCATTAGTAAATGTTACATAATAGTCATATGCCATTGCTAAAACATAAATTATATTATATATCTGAAGAAATCAATCAAGGCAACAAATATATTGCTTAACATAAGAACTATAGATGTGCTCTAAAATCAAGAAGGCAAAAAATAAATATTCCATTCTCTTTGACATCCAAGATCCAATTGTGCTTATAAAATAAAAAATGAAAATAAAGAATAAAAAATATTAATTTAAAATAAAGAGGTTAAGAAAGACGTAGCGCTCTTGGAAAATAGCAAGAGAAGCTGGAGGAAAGGGGAAACATTAAGTTATGAATAATTTTAATATGCCTAACTCCAAATAAAGTATAATTATTATAAAATCTTAAGAGATAGTTCTCGAAGGTTATATAAATAATATGATAGTGATAGAAATAATATGAGAAATAATTTATTGAATGAGAATATGGCTGTGTTTGTTTCTTTGTACAATATGATTGAATGTTATACAAAAGCTTAGTGAAATGAGTAGATT